GTGTGGGTGTGGGGGTGCGTGGGTATGGGGTTCGTGTGCGTGCGCGTGCGCATGCGCGTGCGCGTGCGCGTGCGCGTGTGCGTGTGCGTGTTCGTGTGCGTGCGCGCGTGCGTGTGCGTGTGCGTGGGCGTGTGCGTGTGCGCGTGCGTGTGCGCCTGCGCATGCGCGTCTGCGTGCGCGCGCGTGGGCCCCTCGAAACGCCGTATGTGATGTATGAGGCTAGCACATGGGCACAGCCAGAAGACAAAAACTCACCATACTGCAACGTGCTGACTGCTCCCAGTATTCAAGCTGTGCTGAGGCTGTTGTGGCAGGGTCTTCGGAACTTTGGTCTGGGAACCTAGGGCCTAAGTACCAGAACCTGGTGATAGGTGCAGCTGAAAGTCCATGAAGCGGTCCCAGAAGGTCATGAGCTGCGACCTGCAGCATAACACACCCAGGCTCGGTCCCGGAAAGACGGCGGTTTCTTGATTTCGTTAGCACCGGCTCGGTCCGCTTGGTAGGTCCGCTAACAGTATCCAACAAGACACAGACAGGACGACAATCAGCAAGTGCCAACCAGCAAGTGCCTATGCTAGCCCATCTCACGGCCTCGCGCTGAGATTGTAGGGGTAACCGGTTCAACAACTTAAGGTTCAAAAGCTTCACAGTGAAAAGGAGGATGCATTTGCACTGTTGCACTTTAAGTAGGATGCCAGGTTTTATCCCAAGGTGCACACAACAGGCTTTTCGAGACAAAAGCTTGAGGTCGCCACGTGAGCTCCCTGGATTCTTGCACGGTCATTGCCTTAGTGCCCACAAACTCTCAGAACTCACCCTGTTCGATTTGCTGTCCGCTCTGAACCATGGAGGTGAGTGGCAGCGGAGGTGGAGGTGGACGGTGGCAGCGGCGGCGGCGGGATGCAGGGTTTAGGGTCTAAACAGCTTGATATAGGCTTAAGGTTTTTGCTCAGAAGTCTCTTGCAGGTGGATGCAAAAATCATGCGACCTTGTCTTTAATCAGAATCCTTTTCCCAGATGGCACAGCTAAGGCACATGGCTGAAGAGCTCGTGCAAGTGCCACTTCAATTGCTCCCTGTCGGAGGCCAGCGCCGGCCTGCGGTTCAAGGGGGGAAGGGGGTGCGCTTGGGCGAAAATTTGAATTTGGAAAGGGCGTCTAAGCCTCACTTATGTCCGCCCGGAGTCTAGCACATAGCAAACCTAGCAGCGCATCTACGGGCCGAAGCTGCTTCCGCCAACCGCAGTGACAGCAAGGCAGCATGAGGTTTGTGGACCTTAAGCCCCAACCCCTAGAAACCCAAAACCCGGCCCACTCAAGGCACACTGAGGCTGAAGTTCCGAATGTCTATGGTGCTTAACTGGATTTCACAGACCGTACTTGGAGGTTCATGGTACGTATTAACCAATTATAACTGCACTTATAATTGTACTTATAACCATATTAGGGCACTTAAGGGGCGTATAAGTGGGTTAGAAGTACAGTTATAGTTGGTTGATAAGTACCATGAACCTCCAAGTAAACTCCAGACCCTCACTTCATGGTTTGCAAAGCCCGTCCAGTGCTCGAGGATTTTGTCCGCGATGACGTTCCTCATCGCCAGCTTTGCCTTCTTCATTCCTTAGTGCATGGTCCAAGGGTTTAGAGTTTAGGGTTAAGGGTTTAGGGTTTAGGGTTTAGGGTTTAGGGTGTAGGGTTTAGGGTTTAGGGTTTAGGGTTTAGGGTTTCAGGGTTCAGGGTTTATCTTGGATGTTCAGGATTCAGGCCTTGCATTTCGGGCTGGAGCTTGAATGTTTGCGGCTTTGGGTTTACGTGTGGGATCTTGGCATTGGTTATGCTCACCTGAGCGAGATTCCCCATATAACAAAACAACCCTGCATTTCAAAACCGTGAACTCCAACCCTAAACCCTAAACCCCAAACCCTATCCGCAAACTTTACACGCGGAATCCAGAACAGACTTGGGGGTGGCCTACAAGCAGATCTTCGGCAACCATAACCCTGCTCCCCAACCAGTCCGACGCTTCAACCGAGCCTACATTTTAGGTTTTTGCAGGGTCTTAAGCCCTTAGCCCTCAACCTTAAACCCTTCATCCTAAACCCTAAAACCTACATCTAGATTTCTGCATTCGGCTTCGCGGCGGCGTTGGGCAGCTGGCACCTGGGAAAACCAGCGGTACGCTTGAGCCAGCGTCAGCAGCTGCTCTCGCCCAGGGCCCAGGCCTTCAAACTTGGGTTTAGGGTTTAGGGGTTAGGGGTTTAGGGTTTAGGGGTTAGGGGTCAGGGGTTAGGGGTGAGGGGTGAGGGGTGAGGGGTTAGGGGTTAGGGGTTGGGGGTTAGGGGTTGAGGGCCAAACCCAAAGTTCCGCTCGAATGGAGTTTGGCGTCACTTGGTGTACCCTGATGAAGACACTTGGAAGCTTACTCATGACTCCGCATGGACTTTCCAGCGGGATTGTTGCATTTGACTTGTTGGGGGCTGGGGAATCATACGATTTACGATTTGTGCGGCTGCGGGGCAAGGAAAGATATTCGACTTGTTGACTTCTGATTTGCTGACGTGGTGTGGGGTGGGCTTTGGGTGAGATGACCGCGTTAGTGCATTTGATGTCTCATTCTCTGGGCAGCCCAACTTGCAAAAACATGAACTGCGATGTTTCAGGCTGGGATAGCCGGATAGCCTAGGTTGGGGTGTGGTTTCTGCACTGCCACAGTGAACACTGGCGCTATGCCACGGCGAATGTTGAAGTTTCAGAGATCTTCTGCCCAAGTTCAACTCGGAACAGTGCTTGCCTAAGAACTGCTGTCCAGTTCCCGACGTCCTTCCTTACATCGAACAGACTGACTGCTTGTACACAAGGCCTTTCTTGATATCAATGGGTCCAAATGCTGCTGAGATTCAAGGTGTTGATGGGTGGTGCTCGTTGCTTCGGCCACGGGCGGCAGGAGACGACGCCAGAACCGGCGGGCTGGCTGCATGTGCGCCTGAGACCAAGGCTGTGCTTCTTGACCAGCAACGACCACAACTGCTACTATCGCCCCTCCAGGTGGACCTGTGAAGTCCTTGGACCATCTTGCATTGCGCCATCTTCTACTCATGGGCATGAATCATGTGCCTATGCTGACCAAACACTAGAGCCCAAGCGATGGTACGAGACCTTTGCTCAATTTCTTCTACACCCTGAAGAGCGACGCCCTCAACCCCAAATCCTGACTCTGAGCAGCCACGATTCCTTGCCACCACCAGTTTGTGTTCGGCCTCGGCACATGTGTGTTTAAGCGGGTGCTTAGTCTTTTGAGAAGCCTTCGGGTCCACGTATTTCTGTAACTTATTCTCTGATTCCACACGCGAAAAGTCGACTGAGATCAACAGCACTCACCAGCATTCTCCTTTGAAACTTTATTTGAATCTTTATGGGTCTTTATGAGCCTTGGAGCCCTGAAGAGAATAAACATGGCTTCCCCAATGTCCGATACATGGCAAGCGCAGGGCTGAAGAGGCTCTGCAAAGTGCTTAAAGGCCCTTGAAGCTTCATGCCCTAAACCCCCAACTAGAGAGCTACCCCCTCCCCCCACCAAGGGTCTTGGAATGATGTGGGTTTGTGCAATAAACTTCGGGCTTCTACTATCGGGAGTGCCTCGCTAAGAGTGAGTTCAAACAATGCCTTATCTTCATGCACCGAATCAACGTAGAAGCATTATTCATTATTCATAAGGCGACTTGCACATCTATTTGCGACATACCCAAACCGTGAAAACCGCAAAAAAAAAAAAACCAAAGCCACTGAAGCCTACCCAGGCCTCTTCAGCCAATTCAACAAGGTCACTGCGGGTTACGATTTGGGATTCGGAGCTTGTGTACGGGGTGCAAGTGTGGGTCTTTTGGTCTTTGCAGGGTTCAGAACCTCAGGCCTTCCGGGTTTGAAGGAGGCCATTGCCTCACAGTTGTCTTCGGGGAAGATAGGGGGGGTGGTCCGTTTGAGGCTTAGGGATGAGGATGTTTCAGTATGGAAATCTGAGGGCTGCGCATAACTGGCAGGCAGGAAGTGACCGAGGACGGGGACCAATGACGAAGGGCCTTCCAGAGCTGAAGGGTTTGGGGCTTCGGGTCGCACATGAAGGATTGGGGATTGGGATCAGCGGCGTTGAGGAATTTGAGGAGCTTGCAGCGATTCGGGATCGAGGATTTAGTGATTGACGGCTCCGGGTCAGGAGTTGTCAGGTGCCCCCCTACCCTCATGCCAGGCATGCACAGAACTCTGAGAAAGGCCTTGGGACTGATGAGACTGTTGAGTCGAGCTGTTCAGTCGAGCCAAACGGGTTTCAAAAACGGAGCTACTTGTACCTGCAATACTTCGAGCCGCAATCAGCTGCGGGGTTCCAGGCAACGTCCAGGCTTCTCACTTTCAAGCTCTTCACTGACTTCACGAGTTAGGCTGCAGAGGTGAGGCTCCTGGGTTTTAGCACTGGGGTTCTGGGTTGTTGGGGCTACAAGCACAGCACAAGAAAAACATCAAAAGCCTCCGAAGCCCTTCTTCCGCGAGCGGCGCGCCATCAGAAGGGCCTCGGGGATTTGAAGTTTTTTGCCAGTCGGGGCACACGGGTTCTCCTCTTCAATGGAGGGGTTTGCTTAGGTCCAGGTGTTGTGCTGAGTATCACTCGGCGAGATTAGATCTACGATCTCGTCATCGCAGCTCGCGCTGGCATCTAGGTCCATGCTTGCAAGGGTCCATTTTGTCCCCCTCTACGTTGTGGCGCGGCTCGATGTCTCGACGGTCAAGATGCGCGAGGTTTCGCGCCGTTGGAGCAGGCTCCATGACGCGCGAAGTCTCGTGACAGTTTTGTTCCCCTCTTACGTTGGGGAGGGTCGTGCGCGAGGTTTCGTGACAATTTTGTTCCCCTCTAACGTGGGGGCGGGGCTCGATGTTTCGACGGTCTCGACGCGCGAGGTTTCGTGCTGGGACCATGGGACCACAAGACCAGAGGCCAGGGGACCAACACAAAGTCTGAGGCAGGTGCCGACATGACTGCTGGAGGGCGCAGGATAGCACCCTGGCAGAGGCAGGTGGTCCAGTGGGGCTTGCAGAATGTAGCTATTTGGCAGGCTTAAGTGGGGCCCAGGCGGGCCAGAATCCTGGCTCCCTCTCGTGTTCAACGACCTGAGCCTAAAACTAGGAAGTCTACGCCACAAGCTTCGGCTGCGCACAGCTGCAAAATTGTGGAAGGGAGCGCAGCCAGACGCTTTCGCAACATTCTACATGTCGAGTGCCTTTCGGGGCTTCGTGCTATGCTTAAAGGGCTCTACGCCGCCCACACTCTAAGCTGTCTTAACCGTCTAACCTCCAAACTGCCGGACCCCCCCTTCAACACCGCGATGTTTTCACCGTCTGTCCGCTGCTTCGCCGCATCCTTGGCCTGCTTGGCCTCGGCTTTCAGCCGGGCGATGCGCTCCTGACGTGCCGAGGGGGTTCGTAGGATTCTTGTCAAGTCTGCATGCAGAAGCATGCCGCAGCATGTCGCAACACTGGGCTTTGCACATGTGGCGTAGAAGACATGCGTGGCTACTGATTCTAATCAAGCACATGTGCAAGATAATTGCAGATGCAGGGCTCAAGGCTACACACGGCGGCAGCCACAAAGCCCCCCTCAAATCCCTCAACACTGGTGACCCCTGAGGCCATCCCCTCGGGCTCTTCCTGGGCAGTCTCCGGGGGAGCCTTGGCTTTTGCCCATCGGCCGCGTGCCTGAAGTGGGAGTTAGGGACTTGGCTGCTCTGGGGCATCATGTGTGCTAAGGCTGTTTAGGGCTTCAATTCCACGACAAATCGAGGAAACCTAAGCGCGCGTTGCTTGGCAGTTCCCATGCGCCTCGGGCACCTCGGGCACCTCGGGCGCCTCGGGGGCCTTGGGCACCTTTTTCTCCTCCGGCGGCTTCGGCACCTTTGCAGGCACCTGGTGGGGGCGCGTGGTTCCAAATGCAGCACTCAACCCCACAGCTTGAACCCCCAAATCCCAAAATCTGGGTCTCTAAACCGCTGCCAGCGCCGGCGCCACTGGTGCCGCGGGCGCCGGGGGCGCCGTGGGCACAGGTGGAGCAGCCAGAGGCTCAACCGCCATCAAGCAGTCCTTGCGGCAATCTGTGGGGTTGAGGATATTCAAGATTGAGGACTCACAGGGTTCGATGATATGTGTCTGTGTCTGTGTCTTTGTCTTTGTCTTTGTCTTTGTCTTTGTCTTTCTCTTTCTCTGTTTGTCTGTTTGTCTGTTTGTCTGTTTGTCTGTTTGTCTGTTTGTCTGTTTGTCTGTTTGTTTGTTCATTTGCTTGTTTGCTTGCTTGCTTGCTTGCTTGCTTGCTTGCTTGCTTGTTTGCTTGTTGGCTTGTTTGCTTGTTGGCTTGTTTGCTTGTGTGCTTGATTATTTGTTTGTTTGCTTGTTTGATGGTGTGTTGGCGTTTTGGTGTGTTGTTGTGTTGCTGTGACTGCCACTGCCTTCTACGGTCCCTAGCAAGGAATAGCGGAAGGCTCCACAAAGAGTTGCCCGATTCGTTACTCCCCTGGAAGCGAGTGCGAGTGCGCGCGCGTGCGCGTATGTGCGCGTGCTCCTGCGCGTGTGCGTGCGGACCATGGGACCATGACAATGACAGTTACGGTTGCGTTGGGTTTGGGGAGAGAAGCCCATGGAGACTACAGAGGTTCGTGGGCCACGTGTGCAGAAACGGCTGGAGATGCCTCTGGCCTCCACGTGCTGCTGGATGACTTCCAGCCGGAAGCGGTCGCCACAAACGGGGCAGGCCTCCATCTCGGGGCCTTCCGACGATTGGAGTCTGCAGGGTTCATCGTTTACGGGGGTGCTAAAGCTCTGCAGCGTAGGGGTGGTGGGGCGGCTTCTTGTTTTGCACGAAAATGTTGTTTTGCACGAAAATGTTGTTCCAACCTAAAAGGTAGCAATGTGCACTGCAGCACAAAATGGACAACTTTTCCGAGCCTTCCGAGCTCTCAGCTTCCTCGGGCTCGGGCACCCAGGCCAGTGCCTCCTCGAGAGCTGCCAGGAAGGCCTCGGTGGGATCTAAGTCTTTGCCAGAGATCTTTCCCAATCTTCTACTCTGCCTGCTCATTTCTGCGGTTCGTGACATGGTCGCTTAACATGGGCCCTACAAGGGGACCCCTGGCCTCTTACACATGCTACACAACCCATTGGCCATTCCATCAGAACCCTTGAAAGAAGGCAAGGGACCCATTAAAGGCCCATGTCATGAACTACCCTAAGATCTGTCTGAAAGTTCAGTCTTGCGAACATGCGGACACTCAGTCCCCAATACACTCACTGCCCAGGTAAGTTTGGGGATTATGGTGGTTCATCCTCTCGGCTCTGCGGACGAAAAGCCTCATGGACACTCTTGCTCTGCACGTGGTGTTCGTAGATGCACCAGAAAAACTCGGCAGCGGCCTCGAGTTGCTTGGGACTAGGGGTTAAACCTCCTAAGTCCAGGGCTCAGGAGGGACATTCAGGGCTTGCTGGCTTGTTCTTAATAGGGAATGAGGGAATGAAGCCCCCCATATCATCCCTTGAAGGGTATATGTAGGGCCCTCATTCCCTCAATCCCTACAAAGAGCCAGGGGGCTTGGGCTCAGGGTTCAAGGTTTTCGCCTCAGGGAGATCCAGCTGCAGCAGGCTTTCGAGGAGCTCCGTGGGAAGCTCCGGGACTTCCGATGCTTCGGCCGATGTGGCCCCAGCCTCTTAGGGCTGAGGGTTTATATAAGATTTTGCAGGGTATGTAGAGTTCTGGATTTATAAGTCATTCAGGATCCAAAAACGGGTTTTTTGTGGTGGCTACAGCGTTCGTAGGTTGAGGGTTGAAGGGTAGCCTCGGGCGGCGCAGCTCGGAGGCACTGATCCACGTGCTCCTCCAGCACACTCTGCAGGAAAGATTGGCCGCAGAGGGGGCAGTCTCCTCGAAGCTCCTGGGGCTCGGGAAGGCCCCCCGAGAGTTCAGAAACTCGACTTGCGGAATGCTGTCTTGGATTCCACCCCTAAGAAAAGCTCCCTGCGTTCTACAGAAGTTCACCACCTGTTGAGCCTGAGTTTAAGCTTAAGGCTTCGGATCTGCCGAGTCTCGGGAGCCTTCTTGCGCCGCCGTGACGCGATTGGCACCGCCGCGTCCAGCAGGCTGCCCAAAGTGTACTTGGAGCCACGCTCACTGGAAACCTCGGTTCGGGGTTCTGCGCTTAGGCTGAGTCTCGGTGCTCCGGGCTTAGTGTGCATGCACGGTTGCTCTTTCACTCCTGCGATAGGCTACGCTTATACAGCACTCAAACCCAGAAAAATGCAACGACAGCGCGCCGGCCATCAGCATTTTTGTGCGGTGAGCGCATTCAAGATAACCTTCGTGCCGAAATCCGTCTGCCTCATGCTATGCTGCCTTGTTTAGGCATTCAAGACGCCAGTCCAAGCCCACAAACGCATGCCACGCGAAGACAACGAAAGCTAGCCTGGATTGACACCGATATGGATAAGACACAACGCGCATACCACCGCTACCGCCACCACCACACCCCACGCTCCACACTCCACCGCACACATTCACTCTCCACCACACACCAACACCATAACCACTACAACAGAGCACCGCACTGCAAGTTACACATATGCGCTCATGGAGGACGCGATCTAGGTCCGCGGAGCTTTCCGAAACACGCGCTTCGGAGAACACATTCTCATGCAGACTGTGATCTGTAACGCAACGACCGCTCATCCACCGTCACCACCACCACACACCACCAGACACCGCGACCCTAATCCACCACGCACCGCACACCACCATCACCACCACACTCCACACTGCACTCTACACTCCTCCACACACAGCCGCACACGCGCTCGCGAAGACAGCGATCAATCCCGATCCGCGGAGCTCTCCGAAACGCTCGCCCATACAAACCGATCCACAACGCAAGGTTACATGTAAGTCGCCGGGGGTTGGATCGGTTCCCTTGCTAAAGCAAGCAAGCTCAATGTAGTTACGTGAGTTTTCATGACCATTTCATCTGACAGCGATTTGCTGCTTCCTTTTGTGGTCCCTCAAGCAAAACAATAAAACTATAAAAGTCTATTTTAAAAAAAAAGGCGTAAGCCCTCTGACTCAACAACACTCCAGAAGCCACGTACTGCGCCGCTTCGGGTGAATCCCAGTCTTCCTTGTTGAGCAGGTCTTCTGGCTGCACTTTGGCAGTGACGAAATCCACCTGGCCATCGATGACCAAAGCAAAGGCGCACACACTCACTCATTCACTCACACACACACACACAGAGTGACACACAGTGACACACAGCGACACACCAGACACACACACACACACACACACTTTTACACACTTGCACTTGCACTTGCACTTACACTTGCACTTGCACTTACACTTAAAGTTACACTTACGACTTACACTTACACTTGTAAAGCCAGAAGGATAGTACATGGAATGATACTGACTACCGACAAGGTCGCATGGCTCCTACGATAGTGCTTTTTCATGGCTCGTCCGTCGCACAAGGATTGTTTACACAAAGCACATTGAGTGCGCAGCAGCGTGCATGCAGGCTCTGTTGGGATAGGATCATCGGTGACCTGGAAAGGTAGTGCAAGCCTAGGGCCATGAACGAGCACAAGCCAGAAAACAGAGTTTTTAGAGATCTAATAATGGAACTTTTGAAGTCCATTAGCTATATGGAACAGAATGTATTGCGCCATGATATGATAAATAGCCGTTTCATGGCAATATTTTCTAACTTAAAGAGTTGGAGAATATCTCGTCACTTTGTCATTATATAGATTATTTCTGATTTTTTTAGCCAATCAGATATTTGTATGTACTAAAATAAATTTAAGCTAAATAACATGCTTTTCAATTTCTTAAGAAATACAGAAGGTATATTCTAGATTTCTTCTTTCCTTCATCCTAATATCATATCATCGTCGCATCCCATTTTCCATCGAAAGATCATAATCTTATATAATCCTTCCTCATCTGTAACGTACCTGGGAACGACGAATCTGGGACTGCAACAAATCTTGGATTGGAACAGATCTGCGACGGCAACTCTGATCTTGCTCTCTGGTCGTGGAGCAGCGTCTTTCGAAAAAGATGATGCACCGTAGCTTGCTTGACTAGCAGGCACGCGGTCAGGCGTCCTGACCGCTTCACTGCAAATCCAGATGGCCGTTGTTAGGCAGCACGATCCAGAAAATCGTAATCCCCCCCCCTCCATAGTGACACAAAGTCTTCTGCATACTGACAACAGCCTCGTACTTCGTACAGCAGTAGTTTAACGTCATGGTGCGGAAATTGCACACACACACACACACACGAACGAAGGTCTGATTAGGCTCTATTGGGCTGATCAGATGCGCACGAGACCCGTGCACGATGTTGGCACGCCGCACCTCCTCTCGTGCCTTGTCGATGTAGGAGTCGCGCCTCCAGTCGTCCGAGGCGAGAGCCTGCGGGCCAGTCTCTGTCCAGGCCTCTGGCACTTCTCGCTGGTGCTGACGCATGTGAAGCCTGGCTGGCCCCCCAAGAATGTCAAGCTCTAAACCCTAAGCCCCAAAACTCTAGAAACCCTACAAATCCTATGCCCTAAACCGAGGGGAAGGTGGGGTACCCGAAATGTAAGGCTCCGTATTCATTATGTACGAGTCTCCGAAAAGGGGCCGTAATTCCCCCAAGTACGTGTGTAAGCATGTAAACGTGAGCATTCGGACAAGAGCCAGGCCACTGCAGCGTCCGACGCATAGTAAAAGAGGCCCCGCACGTGGAGCAAACGAGCAGCTCCCTCTCCTGGTTCACTGCCAACAAGCCTAAGGCACTAAACCTAGGTCCCAGAAAAAAGACGGTGCCTTTTGGTTCCAGGGTAACTTAACAAGGGAAATAGGTCCTAGAAACTCTGGCATTCCAAAATCCTAGAAACCCGAGGCTTTGAACCCCAAAGCTACCTCTCCTGGAGCTCCGCTGACACGGCTTGCGCGCAAAAGGACGCTTTCGGAGCCACCCGGCGTGCTGCCTCAGGTCTCTGGTTTCGGGTTGCTGGGTGCTGCTGTGAGTGGAGGGCTCAGGGTTTGAAACTGTTTGAGGCTTAGGAATTGAGCTGTTTCGGGCTTAAGACTCTTTGAGTGCATTTGGGGTGACTGCACTATGGGTCCGACTGAGAGGGAGGGGAGGGGGGAGGGGGAGATGAAAGGCACCGATGCTGGTGTCAAGGCTGCCAGGCTGCATCCTGGGCCAACTCCTCACAGGAGGGTTTTGGGCTTGGAGCTTCTTCAGGGCTTACAGTTACGGTGGAGGGTGACAGCCACATACATGTGCGTTGCACCTTACCGATGAGATCTCTATGAGGTGCACACTGGGGGCTATGACAAAAAACAACAAAGGCGCCCGCCTCTATCGTGACAGAAAGCACACGAAGCCCTTTCAATGCAAAAACCTAGAGCGCTACAACCCTACGAAGCCCTGAAGCCCGAAAGTCGGCAAGAAAGGCCTTGCTGCACACCTCCTACTCCCCCCGTCCTCACGGTAGGAGAGGACGGCAACCCCCACTTCAGCCGCCATCCCAAGGCGTTGCCTGGATGACTCTTTCGATCGTGTGAGTAGGATCGAGGGTTGACACTCTAGGCACACCTGAAACCCTGTCTGAAACCACCTGAAGTCCTGAACCCTAAACAGCTTCAACAGCCTTAAAAAGAAACGAGCCGCAAGCCGCTCAAGATCTTTGCGCCGCCTGCGGCCCGTGCAGATCCGGTCACAACAAACCTCGTGGCATTTCAAAGCACAGGGTTCTGGCTGGAGGCTCTTTGTCTTGCACTGGGAGAGCTTCGGGCTAAGGCTTAGGGATGTTTGGGGTCCCAGAACCTCAAAAATTCAGCTTCGGAGGTTTCAGGGTTGGGAGCTTCGGGCCCTTCTCCAAGACACTCTCAGAGACCTGCCCACTGGGCAGCTGGCGCTGTAAAGCTGAACCAAAATCCCAGCGGCCGGTCGCACTCCACGAAGGGGTCCAGGGACTCCAAGTCCCAGACGTCGAAAGAGGAAGGCGCCCGATCGCAGTGGCCGGAGCAGTAGATCCAGTACCTCATTCGGGTTTGGGCCGGGCTTTTAAGGTCCTAGGGTGCTTTCAGTTCAACTTGAAGCAAAAACAAAACGAGATCACAGAGAGCTTTCGACGCGAAGTGACCCCGAATGCAGCACTGGGGTGATCCTCCAATGCCAACTGCCCTCAAGATCGACTTTTGCTGTTGCAGCTCGGACCCCTCAACCAAACAACTGGAGACAGTTGTAGAATCACACCAGTCCCAGACCCTCTCAACCCCCAAAGCCCAAGCCCGAAAAGCCTCGAACCCCCAACACCGCAAACGCTCAAACTCCAAAAACACAAAGCCCTAAAAGACGTCCTCAAAAGCCTTCAGCATCCGTCAACTTCCCTCAACCTAGCTCCATTGGGTCCCCGAGTGGCCCGTGCCACGCGCGGCAGGGGGCATCTTCCGGGGGCTCCGCAGGCTCCAGGGCGGCTCCTGCTATCGGAGTATGATGGAAATTGTCTTTTCACCGCGCTAAGAAGGCATTTACTGTTGTGCATCTTCACGGCTGGCAGTTCTGCTTATGCCTATGCCCACCCACGGGAGATCGGGGGTCAGGACTGCAAGCAGCCACGACTGGGCTTTTCGAGCAAGGTCTGTAGAATCAGCTTCACGCAACAAAGCCCAAAAGAAATACCGAGACTTTGTGCGGAAAGCAGCAGACAGTTTTTTGGACTTTTCAGTTGGAGGACTCTGCTCCGCACAAGTGAGCAAGTCACGCAAAAGAAGCGCCTTGCAGCAAAGCAACAAAACGAAGCGGATGTCGTGATTTTGATGCCCGAATCAGATGCAATTTATGGTGCCTATTGTGTGTGTCTCGATGCAAAAGCAGAGAGCAGCACTTCCTTCTACCAAAGTGATGCACGACAACAGGGTGCCTGAGCGACTTAGATGATATTCACCAGCTGCATACAGACAGCACTAGGGATGCCGTCTACACAACTGGAGCGAAGAATAACAACGTTCACCGTTGCATGCCACTTCTTCAATCTCTTCCCCGTTCGTAGCCCTTTTCTCAGAAGCAAATACGAAACTTTGACCTACGAGGCCAATGGCTTCTAAGTTCCGGTGCAGACCTCGACAAACACAAACTTCACTTTCACCCTGGTGGAGTCAGGGTTTTCCGTTCCAACAACATCAACAACGTCTTGAAAGTGGATGCAATACCACTGTCTGTTGGCGGAGTCCGGGGCGTCCCGTTTCATCCATATAAAGATGGGACGCCCCGGACTGCACGTCTTGGATTACATGGTGATTGAGAAATGAAAGGTGGCAGGGACTTGGTAGTTTTCCCCACTGCCGCTATGCCGGGCTATGCCCTGCTTACCTTGGGAAAGCTTGGCACCACCCCGGGGGGTGGACAGCGTGTGGGCGGGAGGGTGGGCGAGGGTCGCACGGTGTTCGGGGGTTGAAGGTTTTTGTTTAAGGCGTAGCGTTGAGGGAGATGGGGATTCCTGTCGATCGAGGGATTTAAAGTTCACTGAAGTTGCTGAAAACAATCAGTTGGACTGGAAACCCGACCCGTCCACCGTAGCAGTAAAGCCATCTTGTCCACACACGCTAAACCCACTTAAACTCTCGTCTTCACCACCGCTGTCCTGTCCGATGGCGCTCCTTCCGCTCCTTCCGCCCTCCCTCTTCCTTCAGGAAGGCATCGTAGCCTCAGGATTGGGGTGTCCGGCAGGGTCCGGGCTCAGGGCTTTGGGCTTCGGGTTTCAGGGTTTAAGAGTTCAAAGATCCATTCTAAGTCCGTTCAAAGGTTGCCAACTCAGGAGGTTCAGTAGCCGCAGCTCCGTTCCACCACGGTGGCGGGCGCTGGGGCTTTCGCTCCGGTGGGACCTCGCAGACAGCCGAGCTGAGTGAGGGCCTGTGCGACACGCTCCACCTGTCAGAACCAGAAAGCTCAATCTTTTGCAGGTTTCTGCCGTCTTGAGGGTACGCGAGGAAAGGGTTCGGGGCTTTAAGTTTGTCAAGGGACAATAAAGTAAAAGCCACAAAACTAGGCGGCTCTGCGTTAAACCGAAAAAACCCCCCACCTGCTCCCCCTGCACTTCGACGTCCGCCAGGTTGCCCTTCGCGTGCACGGTTCCGCCGACACCCAGCAGCGTTGTCAGTGCTGTACAGAGGGCTCTGGCATTGCCCCGCACGCCGCTGATTACCTCGCGAGTCAGGTTTTGGGTTGAGATGGGTTGAGGATTCAGGGTCCCCGATGTTCAAAGGGAGCACGAGCGAACGGCCAAGTGTTCGGGGAGTTGCTATGGCCCTTGCGCTCTCGCAGTCGAGGATGACTCAGCTCATGGGAGTCGAGGGTAGTGAGAGGTGACAGTGAGGAAGCGATTGCACTGAAACTACATCGCTCACACCAGACATCAGGCGGACTCTTAGCGCTTGTGTAACTTAAGTGGGCTACGTTCACGTTGCTTCCACTTGCAAAGCAAGTACTCATCTTCGCAGAGCGAAGGACAACCTTCTGTCGATCCCAAGATGGTGAACCCCAAACTCGCCCCAAAGGAATCCTCATTCAACCCTAAACCCCAAAAAAGCCCTGAACGCCCCAGACTTCCGCCCTCTGTGGATCCGAGGCGCGGTCACCCGCTTGCCTTTCGCCCGGCGCTCGACGAGCAGCGGCGGCTGGCCGCCCTTGTCCGCCAAGACCGCGAAGCCGCAGGGCGGGAGGCCCCCGAGCTTTGCCATGGGGTTAGGGCTTTCAGGGATATCAGGTTTGAGGTTTTATCGCTGGGGGAGATTGTTAGGTTTACGGTGTTGGGGGGGGGGGGGGTTTGCTGCAGAGCTATCAGGGTTTGGGAGCTTTGGGGCTTGGGGAGCGAGCAGCGGGGTGTGGAAAGGATGCTCAAAGATTAGGGGCTCTGCCGGTATTTGGGGTTCTTTTTGTGGAGGCTCCAAGGTTTCGAGCTGTGAAGGGCGCCGGGTCAACATCCAAACGACTGTGGACTCCTGAACCCTCTTTGAGGGTAGGGAAGGGCTGGATTGCGTAGGGATTTCTCAGAGGGCAACGTGGTTTGAATCGTGGTCCTTCCTCGGAATCCCAACCCAAGTCCCAAACCCTAACGCGCTAAGCGTCCCAAAGCTCTGGATGCCGAAAAGGCGCCACACCTCTATTCCCAAATCCCTGAAACCCTTAAACCTTAAGCCCCTGCACCCCCACATCCAAAACCCGAAAGCCCTCAAAAGACCCAACCCCACACAAACCCAAACCTTGCACCCTAAACCCCCAAGCGCCAAAACCTGGAATCGAAATGTATGTTCGCGTCACTTTGGCCAGGCCTATGATTCACCAGCTCGGCACCCCCAGCATCGCCCGGGTCGCGGCATGGGGAGGGTTCAGTGTAGCTTGGGGTAGGGATCGGATTGAGAGGGCTTCTGGCATTGGATGGCTTGGGTTTCCTGAGCTTTTGTTGGTGCTTGGAGGTCGGCGTGTCGAGTTTGCTGTTCCTGCGGAAGAAGGGCCAACTCTGCTTGAGGCAGTATTTCGCTCAAATCTCTCCCTACTGATCAGAGTTCGAAGAGCACTCCAAAGAGGACAAAACCGAAATGTGCGCTGGGATGTTTTGGCGGCACTCCGGCACGGTTCCTCAGTCCAGCCTTCAACACGAGCATCATTATCTTCGCCATTTTGCCCCAAGTTTCGCGACACGGAACAGAGGTCTACGAAATGGGGAGACCGCGATATTATCCGATATTTGGCACCTGCTGAGAGTTCAAAAGCCTGGTAGTTGCGATGCTTGGGACAGCTCTTTACGCTGGACGTGCGCCTCAAGTCAGACATCCTAGCCGCTAAGATTCATTGAGAGAAATATTCACGGGTGCTGCAAGGAGTTGCCATGTAAGCGCCAAGATCTCGCGAATCCGAAGCCGAAGCTCTGATTTTGCGGGGGAACGCAGTGGTCGGATCGGTCACATCTTGACCATCGCCACGAAGGCCTCACGAAAACATGGAGAATCGTGGCAGAGGAGCAGGGCCACTCGCAAACCCTGAACCCTGGACTCCATACCGAAACTGGACCTAAACCTTTAACAAAAAGGATCCCCGACCCCCAAGCCATAGGTAGTCTGCTCTGCAGGGCAGCCACAGCTAGAAGACCACCTAAAAACTCTAAATCCGCTGTAGGATCTAGGACTTAGGAAGTTTAGGAACGAGATTCTTAGTTGTCCAGTAACCTGGGGGAATTCAAAGTTAACCTTTGGGATTTTATAGGTATTGGACGACCCCAAGAAGGTTAAAGGTTACCTACTCTACTGCTAAGGATTTGGGTTTGACGGGTTGAGGGTTTGCAGGGCTCCAGCCGAAATTTCCTAGGCTTCCAGGCCTCGGGAGGCACTTGGACTTTGGCAATCTCGCGAAGCCGCTTTTTGCCTTCCTTCTGCCTGAACGGGACGCTGGGCATAGGATGGCCGGACACCTGCACCCCACACGTGCGCCAGGCCTGCTCAGGCTTTGCCAAAATTGGAGCTGCACATGTGGAGGGGTTAGGACTCAGCACTCCTTGTAGGAGTAGTTCCCCTCATACTAACGGTCCTTGAAGGGGAATATCATGGGGGGTACTAGAAACCTTATCAAGGACTGTTAGTATACAGGGGAACATCCCAAGTGGTTGGTCCTCTGAGATTATTGATCAAGGGGCTTTTCTCATCTGCTCCTGGCCCCCCCTGCCGCCTCTCCAAGAGCTTTGCCTTCCGCGAAGGATCTCCGCTGTGGCCGTGGCTCAAGATCTTCTGTGCCACAACGTCCTTCGGGCATTCGGACTGTTCAGACTTCGCTGAGAGTTTCCACAGCTTCAGGTGTTTCGCGGGAACATCTGCAGGGTCTCTGTTGAAGGTTTGGCAACTTTGCATCCGGAAGACCCTTCAAGCGCGTGGATTCTCCGAATTCGGGCACCACCCACCGAGCCCGACCTTTCTGAGCGCCTTGATCCGGACCTGGCAGGGGCGGGGCTTAAGAAACCTTCAGTGTGCCAACATTTACGGCTTCGGGCACTTGACGAGGACGAATGCTGAAAGAGCGGAATCCACCAACCAGAAATTCCGAACTCAGAGCAACTGTTGGCTGATGCTGCTGCGCGCAGCTATCGGCCCATCAACATAGAGTGCTCATCACAGAAGACGCGTTGCTTCCTTAAAAGCCTCAATCCGAAATCATGCCCACGGTCCGGCCTTCGCCACCACCTTTCCGCCCACGACGGCCTGGATACCGATGTCGAAGAGCTGCCTACCGGGGCTGTGGGCCTTTGATGTCTTAATTGGACCTGGACAGCTTGCCACTGGGTCAGACAGGGTTAGAATGAGACATGCCATCACATGTCCCACGCGGCAATCTGCTGAGCTCCAGCAAAAAAAAAGCGACATTCGATGTGAGGTGCCCCCCCCATCTCTGCAAATCGTAGCCGGGCTGCGCAGGGATGACTTTCTCCAGCTTCTCCAGGTACTTTCGGGACACCTGGCATGCTGGAGGCGAACGACTCACAAGCCCCAGCAGTCAATGAGCGATGGACAAGGAAGACTTTGGTTTCAGAACTTCATACGCCAAAAAGATACTCCCAGTCATGAGTGTTGAATTTTGGCTCCTCTTCACCGCTTCAGCACCAAATCTGAACCCGTCTGAACCCTCAACCTGAAACCCTAGTGCCCGCATCCTTCTCAGATCCTAGAGGATCTATACACACTCTCGGATTCCCAACCCTGAAACGCAATCAAACCCAACGAAACCCAAACCGCGCCTCCGGAGCACGAGATCGCAAGGCAAAGAAGCTCAAGGCATCGACTTGCTCGTTGTTGAGCCGTACACCCACCTTCCAGCTTCTTTTCAGCTTTTGTTGGGGTCAGATTTTTGGGTGGGTTGAGGGGGTTTGGGTTGGGATTCGGGCCCGGAATGTTCATGGATTGACGCATTGAAGAAGAGGCTGAGGCTTCGAGTTGATGGGATTTGGGAGGTTGTAGATTGGAGATGGCAAGTGGAGATCAAAAAGGCATCAGGCCAACCGGAGGCTCAAGCCCAAAGTAGAGTAAACCGGCTCAGGGAGCCTACACCGTTCTGAGAAGCAGCCACCAGCAGCCATCCTACGTCCGAGGCATGGACATCTCACTGTCCCTACACCTGCAACCCTACAGCCATAAACCTAAAAGGCCCTAAATCCTCAAGCCCCACTTGAGTCCTAAACATCTGGCACATGAAACCGAGCCTTCACCAGGTCAACCTCGGCACATGCAGCGGTGTGCAGTCTTGGTGGAATATGAGAAGTCACTCGCCAGTTACAAGCATTGTTGTCTGCAAAAGGTGAGGTGGTCGGGTGGTATACCCCAAACAACCTCCATGAGACCTCGAAGAAGTGACCGGCATCCACCAATGTAGCAAAAAAAACGCAGCAGAACTGGGATGCTTGGCTTCGCGTTGAGTGCCATGCCGGCTGGAAGCCCGCGGGCTGGTAGTCGAAACTGGCAAAGCCATGGCTAAGGGCCTCTGGGCACACCGACTTGGGAGGTTTAGAGAACGCAATTAAGCATAGGCCATATAGATAGCTCCTGGATCTTCCGGCGGCTGGTTTCAGCCGCCGTGTCTGCTGCACGGTGAGGGGCTCGCAGGCTCTGGAGGGGCTCTGGAGGATGTGCGAAGCGGATTCCAGTCCCACCTGGAGCTTGTCGAAGAAGTCAGTGATGACCTTGCCGGCAGCAGAGCACATCAGCTGAGAGACACGATGCCTTCTCTCATTTGTCTTGCACCCATGCAGCAAGCAGCGTGTAGTAAACTCAAAAAACAGGGCACTACCTGCTGGCACTTGACAGGGAGCTTGAGAATTGAGTACTGCGTCTGTACACATTCAAAATATGTTTCTAATTTACGTGCTCCCCACGGTGGTCGATTGACATTTTGAATTTCAGTATGTCCAACTTGACCACACACACACACCCGAGATCTCCTCGTTCTTCTCGACCAGTGCCGTCGCTCCAAAGATATGTTTATCTTACATTTCTCATCTGCACACACACACACCTTTACACGCTTACACAATTGTATACGTTAAAAATCCCAAACATCCAAAACCTGGTTCGAGCTTCAGTTTCGTATCGTTTGTGTACCGAACGAGACTTCTGTTGCCTTCATTGCTGTCTAAAATGTATTTCACACGTTTCGTTTCGGCATTGTGTTATGTGATAATGAGTTTGCAGATACATGCACCACTAGTAGCACTCGCATGGAATTCCTCTGCAGAATGCAAGTCTGCAGAGCACATAGCTAGTAAGAGTGCACTTGACCATTGTCTAGATCGGACAGGGACTCAGCAAAAGCCGCCCACCTCTGCCAGTGGCAGCCTGAGTGCAGCTTGCGGCTTCGAGTCGCGGGCATCAAAGCATTAACCCGAAGCGGCCCGCTTTGATGCTGCACTGCTGACCACCGAACCCCCAAACCCCAAACCCCCAATCTAAGGATCTGCTTAGCAACCCCCCGACATCAAGACAAAAAAAAGGCCCCATCCCACTGGTCAGCGGAGCTTCCATTACGAGAGCGGATATTTCCAGAAAGCCCTGGATTTGAAGAAATAATCTGGAGGTGAAGCTCGCATGGCAAGACCCCTCCCTTTTCCCGCCCACGCATGAGGGGGGTTGCACTGCAAAGGGAACTTCTTAGGAACCCCAAAGCCATGAACTCCAGAATCAGGTTCGCCTCCATTTCATGAGGATGCGCTCGCCCGCGTTGTCCAAGGGCTCCACCTTGGCACTTTTCAGCTCTGACGGCCCTCATCAATCGCCCTAAACCATAAACTTGCCTAAGTGTAGGCTTCGTTCTTCCGTTTCTGCGCGAAATGTGGCTGCGCAGACGCACAGGCGTCTCCCACAGAGACGGGCCGAGGCGGCATGGGCGACCATGGGCGACCACATTCCACCCCAAAGAGGGAGTGGCAGTTTAACATGCTACTGCTGGGTGCTGGCTACAGGTGAAGATCTGTATCCTCTTTTCGCTCATGTATTCGTTCTTCTGGAGAGGACTGGAGCTCTGACGCCGCCTTACTCCCAGACATTGATTCAAACGACATTCTCACAGGTGGTTCAGCAAGTTTTCCTGCATGAAACTCGTCTCACGAGACGTACAGCAGCATGACGGAGCTCCACCAGGAGAGTAACCTTCCCGTGCATGGAGTTACCGTTCTGCCAAAGCCAGAGGATGCATCGGGCGCAGACTTCGTGACTGCCATCTCTGCAAGACAGAGGAGAGTTGCCATGGTCCGACTGCAAATGCGTTCCAGGCCTTGGCCTCCCTGGGAGTGGAGCCCCTCCCGGCATTGCAGCTCACCGTGTGCACGAGCTGCGCAACATCAAGCAGCTTTCTTGAAGAGAGGCTCTTAAGGACGCGGGGCGTTGATTCTGTGTTGGGCCTTGCCAGTCCAAGTGCTGGGTAGCAACTTGCAGTTCTGCCGTCAGATCTAGTACAATTTCCACCAGACACTTGATTTCGCGAGTCGCCTGTCTACCCATGAACCCAGCGTAGAAATCGCACCCTCATGAGCCAGTACTGAGGGTCCAGCGCTCGGGGTGAACTAACCCTCGTCTTTTCCATCAGACACTTCGTTGGCTAGGACAAGGCAGGGTTAACCGTGGAAAATGGCATTAAGGTGAGCTTGCGCACACTAACAAAAATGGTGTTATGCAAGGGCTTCTAGCGTTTTCATATGGCTTTTTATGCTGCATTCAAGAGCCCAATAGATGCCCAATAACATGTGTGAGCGCAAACACACCGCTTGGGCGCTCGAGCTATTCATACACATGGGCTTTTCATGCGCTCTTTTGATCCCTTAGAAAAGCCCGCATAAACGACTGAGAGAAAGTGGGAGAAAGCGAATGGAGCGCCTAGAATATTCTAGGTAATGTGCACACATGGTCTTTTATTCGCTCATCGCATGTGTCATGGGCAAAATAGCAAGAGGGCGGGTCGACTCGAGCGATGCGAAAAACTTTGGGCAAGGAACCGGCAACCGGTGCCAGCAGTGTGTTCCTCAGAGCTTCGTTCGTTAAGGAGACGAGAGGGCATGATGGGCATGCTGCCGATGCTGGCACTACTCTAGCCATGCTTAAAAACAACCTTGAGGTCCAGAATGCGTAGATTTGCTCCGAAACCTCTAAGGCAGCGGCAGAGAGCTCCTGGGCACAGTGCGCGGAGCAGCAGCGGCACGGGGTGGAGGGAGTTTTAGGGGCTTTGGGGTTGTTGTTTTGTGAATTCAAGAGTCTGAGAGCAACGCTGCCTCAATGCCCAAGACCCTCAAAGCTCCCAAAGCCCGGCTAAAGATTGACACACACACACACACACAGACGCACGTATATATACACATAACACACAATGTTCTCGGTTCACACGCCACACAAGCGCGAGCCCTTCTCTTGCGGCCTCCCCACGCCGGTCCAGGCAGAGCTGCTGGATGCCGGGCGTCAGCTCTCGAGGCAGGACCTCGCTGGGGGGCTTTTGGAAGTCCCCGCACGTCGCAGCCAGAGGCATACAGGGGGCAGGGGGTCCGAGCTGGGCTCTTCCCACATGCGCCGTTTATCACCCGGTGTGCATTGGTCCACATATGAGATACAGTCGAATGCAAACTTTAAACGCCATGGGGAGGGGGGTCCGGCCTGGCCCAGTCCGGGTACACCGTCTCATGCTGGGGTATAAACCGCCCAAAGCTTTTGTCAAAGCCCACTTTTTGTCTCGAGCTGAGAGGGGGCCGGGAGGGGTTGACTTTAAACCCAAAGCCCATGCTGGTAATGAACACCTGAACAGCCTGCCATCTGCAGTGCATTTGCCAAGTCGGTCTGCTTTTGGGATTGTGCAGCGCATGCTACACCTCCCCTTATGCTTATTCGGTCATATGCTTACTGCGCCCCTGCCAGCAGCCTGGCAATTGCTTTTCAAGGCACGCTGCCCAACATGTCAACTTCCACCCCAAAAGCAAGCTTTGAAGGCGCGCGGCACTTGACATAGGAGTGGCCAAGAAATCATAGAGTGTTTTTGGTGCCTGGTGTGAGTGCTTTTGGTGCGTGGTGAGTGCGCACGCAGGCATGGTGTGCATGGTGGCGTGTGCGTGTGCTTGGCTTGAGTGTGGGCTTGGGTGCAGTGGATGTCGCTGGTGTCGGCTCGGGCGGGTTTCTGATGGTGTAGGTGAGCGGGGGTGGGGGGGGGGGGTAGGTGAGGGTGTGTGGTGCGGGTCTGGGTGCAATAGGTGGAAGGGGGCTGGAGAGGTGGGAAGCGACTAGCAAACAAAGGATAGCCGCGAGGAGAATAACGGGAGAACAGAGACTTTGGAGAAAAACAACCGATGGACTAAACACAAAAACAGTAGAACGACCAGAGAAACTCCTGTGAATGAAAGAAAAAGTGACCAAGAATAAGGACCTAATCTTTAATATCTCTCAGATTGAGTAAGCTCGTCAGGGTTAGTCTTAGGAGCCCCATTTGTGCTATGGGTGATAACTTTTTCAAGGCTGAGACCCTGCGACCCATCCGGCTGGCTCATTGTGGCGCCGACATTTTCTGCATACACACCCAGGCTGCGGCAACGGTGGCAATCACCAATGGCTCCTAGGACATCGATGGCAAGAACGGCTCCAGGGCCTAGACTAACCCGAAGGATTGCTGTCAAATTTGCATCTTACTGCAGAAGTCCCTCCTCCACTTCTTTCGGTGGCATCGCCGGCGGTGAAGGAAAGTCCCCAGCATGCTCAACCACCACCTCGAAAAGAAAGCTAGTTGAGGGAGGAAAAAGGGGCGGGAGTGCGAGGTCTAAATTGTCATCGAAGCCTCGACTCCAAACCCTAAGCCCAAGGAAAGCCTCAGCCCTAGTTCTGGGTGGCGGCTGCCTCCTTGCCATTGCTCAGTTTCAGGTGGTATGGCACCGTGGGGGACGTCGCCAGGACATCCACACCTGAGTTTGAACCACAGTTGGGCAACCCAAGGATGTTTACAGGATGATAAGGGGTCCCTTGTTCAAAGAAGAACTTCGGCATTGGAGGGGAAGAGCAGCCCATGCGGTATTCGGACATCTCGCAGAGTGGAAAGCCATGAGACAGCCAAGACTTTGCTACGCTTGTTTTGTAAAAGTAACAAGCAGCGCATGAAACCAAATGATTTCTTTGAGTGTCCTGAGTTCTCGCCCTGCTCCGCTTCAGACGCTTGACGCCCTCTTTGTCGAAAAGTGCTCGTCATGCCTCCCTAGCAATTCTCACCAGGTGTTGCTTTCACCGTGAATAGAGGTACCAGACATCGGTTTCTGCTATAGCTGAAATGTCTACGGTGGAGTTCTTGCAGAGGAAGGAGAGGTGCCAACGCAATGTCACATTTGCACCGAGGTCCGTCGCACCAACTCGCTGTCTTCAGAGACCGTCAGCAACCATGTAGCTCCACCGGGTGCAAGTGAGCAAAGGCAAGAGGAGGCCGTGGCCACGCAAGTCTTCATCAAAGACAAGAAACAATCCTGAGAGGACGAAAACGTGGCTACAGGGCGTGGAGGCCCAACTAGAACCACGAGGGCTTTGCGATGCGGCCTACTCACGAAGAAACAAGGAAGGCCTCAGATGGCGAAACGGCGAAGGGAAGCTTAGGCTGGCCCGTGCAGCGCCGGACGCGAATGGAGGAGGCACCAGACGATCGGTGCGTCGCGGCCTCAAGAGCCTGGAGAAGGGCGCGTCGAAACTGCTCGAAAGAAGACGCAGAAGCAGAAGAAGAGGGAACAGAGAAACCCGAAGAGAGGCGCAGAGCGGTGGCGAAGCGTGCGTAGAGCCGGAGCAGTGACCGGGACACCACAAACCCCACCAGCTACTAGCAATGCACGCAGCGTCCGCCTGGCTACCAGCCGTTGCCGCAACGAGTCCGCCCGTATGTCAGGAGTAGATTCCTATGACGAGTGGCGAAGGCCACCTAGCGAAGCCCAAACACCTCAAAACCCAGATTGGGCCAAGCCGCCGTATTCCTTGGAGAGGCGCTGCCGGAAGACATCCAGGTGCAAAAGGCCGAGGAAGCCGCACCTTGCAGATTTCGGGGCATGTCAGCGTTTTGTGAGTAAGCACAAGGCTTTGGCGGCTTCCGGGCTTTCGGGATTTGAGGGATCGGGGGTCAAGTTGCAGGCATAGGGGTCTAGGACGTCCAGGACTTATGAAGCTTTGGGCCTGTGCCAACTTATACTCAAGCTGGTGTGGACGTACGTGCTACAGTCTACGAACAGCATGCACGTACCCTGAACCCGAAGCCCGTCCCCATAAACCCCCTTAAGACTTCGGCATAGGGTTGGTCGAAGGTCTTAGGGGGGTTTTGAATCACGGATCGACATGGTGCAGGGTTTAGGGTTTAGGGTTTCGGGTTTCGGGTTAAGGGTTTACGTGGAGATGCAGCCTCTGTGCAAGGGGGTGGCTCCCATGTTTGTCCTCTCTGCAGGGCGGATCCAAGGTTCCTCCGCGCCTTGCCAAGAGTGGCCAACTGAAACCGGCGGTGAAAACGGGCGGTCATTGCCACTGCATTACACTCCTCAGGTCTGCCACGAGACCCACTTCGGGATTCTCGGGGTAAATGTCTATGAGAGCAATTGAGATCGCGGCATGGAGAGCCACGCAGAAAGGGAAAAGCATGCGCATGCCAACATCTAGCCTCATGGACCAAGGAACCCCTTGTGAAAGCGGTACTTGGTACCAACGCAGGGGCCTCACAGCCACTCTGTATTTTTCTATATCCAACATCAGTTCCATGAACAGCGAAAAGATGATGCGTACTCTGCTGATATCGTCCAGTGTATCGAAGCCCTTATCGCGGAGGAACATGCACATGATTTTTGCAGCATCGGGCACCGTCATGTAGATACCGAACCTTGTCATGACTCTTCGAAGCATCTCCGGTGTGGCTGTCGGTTCCGGCACCTCGTCTGTCCATAAGGAAAGAAGGTAGCGTATAACTTCCAAGTCACCCTCGGTCGTTGCATTCTGTGCAATGGGAGAGTGCGCGCTGTTGCGCTGGACATGGAGGGCAAAGTGTTCATCCACTTGCTCTGGCATGGAGACGCTCTCAAGCGTCCGGGTCGGACTTTCACTCCTCAGCAGAGACTGTGCGGCGTCTTCCCCAGCTTTGTCCTTCTTGCCTATCGCTGCGGCTTCTTCAGCCACCTCGCTGAAGGCTCTCCTACGTCCTTGCGTCTCGCTTTCTGGAGCTCGGTCTTCTCTCTTTCTTGCCAGGTAAGACACCAAGGTTCCAAGGTGCGGCGTCGGAGTGTATTCACTAAGCAAGGTGGCAACGAACTTTTTGTCCTTGTTAGACTTGTCAATGAGCTTTCGAGCCGTATCTTCAACATTCTGTAGCCGCTTCAAATTCTCCGCCGCTCTGCCCTCCAAACCTAAGAGGAGCTGCACAACAGCTAGGTGCACAGCTGCATAACAGCACAGGATCATCGAGCCCAGCAAGTAATCAATGAGCCACACGCATGTTGCAACCTGCGGGAGCTTGGAGAACACAAACCCTTGCAATGAGCGCATAATGAGGACGGGAAGCAGGGCAACTGCCGCCCGCGCAGGTGCAGAAGCCGGATCTATAAAGAACCCTGTGTAGCTGACAACCAGGAACAGCCATGATGGCACCAAGACCATGCGAACAAGGTAGCCCGGGCGGCGTGAAAACTGGAAAGGGAGGAAGACGATGTCAGTGTCTCCTCCCAAGTCCGGCCAGAAATGGGCTGTCCGGATTCCGGGGCTCCGAATTAATTGCTCTCCCTCAATGAACCAAGTGGGTGAAAACATTTTGTCTCCAACTACTCCCAAACCTGTCTGCTTCATGTAGTCATGAACCGAGCCATACCTAGGTCTGATCTGAATGGAGCGAGTGGTCTCCGAATAGCATCCAAGCTTTAGAAAGCAGCCGTGGGAATCATATGGCATACGGTGGAACTGCATGGCGCACTTCAGACTCCCATGGATGGCCACAGAATGAAACACGGTCCCGTTCGCATGCACTGTTGTAAGTGCTCCGTTCTTCTCATAAGTTAGCTTAATGGCATTGTAGATATAGATCTTCGGTCCCCACAGCATGTCGTCAGGCACGGTCAGCGCTTGGACACAAGCCTTGCCCGGGTCCTGGGCGAATGCCAACCTCGAATCCGTCCACCATGTTCGCAGAAACCCGGTAAGAGCCACTGACTCGTGCTGCTCATCCACGGCATCAAAGCTTTGAAGAAAGAACTGGACCTGAACATCCACAGACACATTCTGCTTGGCAAAGTTCGGAGGCATGCTCTTCTGATATCCTTCACAGGGAAACTGCCGTATCGGCTTTTCTAGCTATGGAAACTTGAAAGCAATTTACAGCCCCAACCTTTTCTCTGCAGAACCTTCTCAAACTCCACTGCATGCTGTGGGCCAACGCATTCGTCCACACCAGCATTGCATGACTGCAGTAGAAGACAGGTCAATATAGCGCACCGCTTCATGATGCTTCACGGGAATCTAAGCCACGTTGGGCTTTTGGCAGACGGCAGCAGTCTCTACCTTACCCTGAGAAGCTGCCAGAATCAATACTTCCTCTCACAGGCCGATTGAAACCCACATCTCAAGGTTCACAGGCGCTTGACGAAAAGTCGCAACACAGCGCGCAACAAACTGGCCAACAAACCAAGGCGCCGGAAACCGGCTCCGAGGACGGGTGAGATGTCCCTCCGGGCCTGCAGGGCGCTCAGGGCACTTGCCCCACCCTTGACAAAATCACAGCGACATCCCCCTAAATGCCCAAACAACCAACCCCCCCCCCTCCCCCCCCCAAAAAAAAAAAGACTCAAAAGGTCCTGAAACGCAAATTGTTCTAGTGAAGCCCCGAGCCCAAGACCTGACACCAAGACAGATTCCAGGGAGCCTCCACCGAGGCGTCTGTGAGAAGGAGGCGCTGCATGGCTGTCTCCAGTTTCTCACCGTCGCTCACGGCCTGGTGAGGCTTTCTATAGGGGCTTCGAGAGCTTCAAGGTTTTCAAGTTCAGGACTTCAGGAACCCAGAAGCAGCCTAGACCCTAAAGAACCTAGATGGCCTGCATTCCCATGAATTCGGGTTTAGGAGAACTTGGGGTTGTGGCCCTCCGCCCCTGTCGCCTCTGGGAAGATGCCGGCATAGACCATAGGATGGGCCTTCTTGAAGCCGGGGAAAGGCTCCCCGGACTTCTCGCCACCTGCTTATTTTGAGGTCTCACTGGCTTTCTTGAGGGGTTTGGTCAGGCCGTTCGGGCTTCTAGCGGCTCTAGCGTTCAGGCTTCTCAAAGTTCAGGGCTTGGAGTCTAGGCTGCAGGACTTCTAAGGTCTTTTAGGGGGCAGGACCATTGCGAGGAATCGGAGGTCGACTTGCGCTTGTTGCAGGTCAGCCGCCGAAACTTAGGGTTTCGGGCTTGCGGTTCAGATGAGCTTGAGATTGTACCTGCGAACCCCGCAGCCTCCAACCCGACCCAGTTCTATGTCCCCCACCTTCCTGCCACACCGTCTCGCCGACGCGGAAGCTGCGAATATCCTCTTCCGGAAAAAAGGAGCCGAGATGCTTGAGGTGCAGGACCAAGATGTTGGCTGCAGTTCAAAACAATGGTCGGATTTGGGGTCCTGTAAAAAACCGCCCAGAGATAGGCCCCCAGAGGCGTTACTTGGTTTGCCAGCTGTCCTATACATAACGAGCATGCGCTTGTAATTATTCGACGGTGCGAAGCAGGCAGAGTGCTGTTGGCTCGCAATATTCAGTTGCCGGGCTTTTTTGTTCTCACCCGTATTCCCAAAACGGTGCCTGCACTGTGGGGTTCCTACTCTCAGAGGAAAGGAAATGACGGGCCACGTGACGGGAATTTGGGCCCTGTCATTGCACTGCTGGGGTTCACATGTTAACCCAGTCATAGGGCCAAAGCGGTGGGTCAATGAGTCAACCCATTCAGAGGGGCAAAATGGTTGGATGAATGGGTTCATTGGTTACGGTTGTCGGTTACTGGTTTAATGGGTCAATGGGTTGAAAAGGCTTCATGGCTTAGAACTCGGTTGTTGGGTGAAGCCTCGAAAACCAAAAAGCGGCGAAAAGGGAGGGGCTCCTTGGCCCCAACGACGATGAAGCCGATCTGTCCACTCCGGAGGCTGTCCACGGAGCAGAGGTCAGGGTAGAGGAGGCCGATGTCCTCAAGCAACCCAACAGAGAAAGCACTCCCCCTTCACAATCCCCCCCCTAAAGTCACAACCCAAAAGAGCTGGAGAAGCTCCGGGTGAGTTGGGCTCAAGGGAGTTTCGGTGTTTACCGTGTCTTACGGCTCTTAGGGGTCTCCCGGATCATCGAGCTCTCAGCCCTTTCTCTTCAAGCTCCGGAGCCCTTGCAAGCCTTGAAGTGCCACTCAGGCCTCCAGCTTTCAGTGATGCCATTTAAGCCATTTAGGATTCAGAGGATTCGGGCCTGGGAATTGGAGCTTTTTGTTGTTCCACTGCCTGAGGCCCTGAAACCTTGTACTCCCAGCCCCGAGCCGCGGGCTGGGGGGACAAGGGCTGCTTGGGTTGCTTCGAGACAAGAGGTATTTCACCGCGTCTGAGGTACCCACCAGCTGCTCTTTCTGGTCAGCCGCGGATTCGGAAACTGGAAAACGCGGTTTCGGGACACCAAAAATGTGGACTCGGGAAACTTAATCGGGAAACCGGAAAACGCAGATTGGGAAACTGCAGATTCGGGGAAACTGTGCGTTCGGGAAGCCTCGGATTCGCGCAACAGTAACAATTGGATTCGTACAGCGGCGGTGGGATCGAAGGTTTCAGGAACTTGCAACGTGCCGAGTCGGAAACCGCAGATTCTGCAAACTGCCACACGCGGAGTCGGGAACCTGAAAACCACGGCTTCGGAAAGTAGGCCAAGCACGGAGTCGACAACTTCGGATTCATGAAGCTAGCTGCCCTGGCTTGTGCATGTCGAACCCCCACCCCCCACCAGACAGGTCAGCCATGATTTTAAATTGTTGTTCGTCAGATCTGCTTGCAGAATAGCCTTCAGCCCTGAATCGGCCAGCTTCCTGAATCGAAACGTTTCTTGCCTTCCTGAACAGCTAGTTTCCTGAAACGGGCAGCATTTTGAACTGCATGGCTTCCTGAGTCGGGCAGTTCCTGAGCCCGTGGTTTCCTGAATCGCCTAGTTTCCAGAACAGGAGCAGGAGCTCAGTGGCGCATCCGCTACGCTCCCAGCGCAAATTGCGCGAAGCTTGTCCAGTCCTGGTCCCCTTCCCAGACTCTACAGAGACTCTTAAGGCAACATCGCAGCTTGCGCAGGTTGTCGCGGAGGGCCTTCAAAAAGTTGACGGTGTGGGAAAAGCCAGCGTTTGCGCAGCAGTTTCTGTCGCATCTTCTTGCCGCTACACAGCCAGCACGAACTTGCGGAGTTTCGTCGCACGCCTACCTGAAGTTTACTCCGTTCATCCTGCCTCACTTGCATGCTGGTGGGGATTTGGCTTCAGGGCTACAGTGATGGCACAGGCCCCCTCAGAGAATCTCATTCCCGGTCGTTCCAGCCCTCAAACTCTCACCCTCCTCCCTGCAACATCCTGACCTCAACACTCGACCAAGGCACCATGGCGAGGTGGACCCTGCCGCTGTAGGAACCTTCTCGGAGGCGCAGTCGCTCTTACCCGAACTCTTCTTTTTCCCGTCGCTGAGCCCTACAGCATACAGCATTTCAGGGCTAATACAGGGCTGAAAGCCATCCTTGGTTGCTGCTACAAGCCTAGAAAAGCGGCCCTTGAAGGCCTAGCCATCGTCGAAAAAAACACACAGGTTGAAAGTACCCCGTCCCTGCACCCCTTGGCCGTGACCTCTTAACGCCCAACGCCCACCCGCAAGACCTGATACCTAACGAACGTCTTTGCCAACTTCCAACTCATGAATATCAAAGAGATGAACCTGAGGGCCCACCGAGGCGCAGTGGATCTTGCTACCCTTCTTCAGCTCCCCATCATGGATAGCGATCAACAGGACCATCCCACGCCGACCTCTCATTGAAGGGCTTCGGGCCCTCGGGGCGTTGTAGATCTTGCAGGATGGCTTTTTGGCTCAGGCTTGTAAACTCTTGTAAACCTTTGGGGTCTTCAAGGCGACGTTTGGGACTGGCCGCGAGTCCAGGATTCAGGATCTTTGGGGCGATGCTTGTGATCCTTAAAGCTCCACAGTCCAAGCGGGAAAGCCTGAAGGCGGTTTGAGTCCAAGCGTCCGTCATAATATGCGTCGAAAAGCAAGGCTCTGAATGGCGCGCGGACTTCGCCTGACGGGGCAAAGGGGTTCCTAAAGCGCTACAGGATCAAGAAGGACTTCGATCGAAGGGGGCAACGAAGGCTTCGGAGTAAGGACTTGAACGGTTTAATGTTGACTTCGCATTAATAAACCCCCCCCCCCTTCATTGATCAATCTCTCCGGCCAAGGCCTCCTCAATAATGTTCGCCTAAATCCTGGTAGGACGTACTATTAGTTTTAGTATTAGGTAGTAGCACCACGCCCGTAAAAAACGGATTTCCCGGGTCGGATTTTACAATTGTGGCGGGTTACAATACTGTGTTCCGGCAGCTGGATTTTACAATTGCGGCGGGAATCACTAATGTGAAGTCAACATTACGGTTGCTGCAATCGCCTCTCCGTCCTGGGAATCGTTACAGGAACCCAACACTTCGAAGTTTGCAAAACGAACCCTCGACTCCCAAACTCTGAACTTTCGCTACCACTGCGGTCACTTCCAATGCCCCAGTGTGCAGGCTTTTTCGGTCCCAAACCACGCTCAGCCCTCCCACCCAGACCAGCTCATCAGTCAATCAGCCGAGCTGATCCCAAAACCCAAGAGCCCAACCTTAAACCCTGAAGCTGCAGGTCCTACAAAATCCTGAAGCCTAAAGCTGCCATGTGTGGAGCGTCTACTAGTAAAGCGTCCCAAAACCGTCCGAAAACACGCTGACTTCAAGCTTCTGAGGCTCCCGGCCTCGGGGTGGCGGCACCTTGTGGATGATGGCCTCCGGAGCGGCGTGGGGGACTCCAACTGAGGGCTCGGAGTGCTCTGACGCTTGGGGAGTGAAGCTCTCAAACGTCTTGAACTCGGGCTTAGGATGTCGGAGTGAGGGATACAGATTGGAGCTGGCCACTCATTCGGTGAAACGGCCATTTGCGCATCCGATTTCCGGCCGGGGCGCCAGGAGACGCCCCACACACTCAACCGTATACCCAGATCATCCAAATGATGCACCGTCCTCCAGTAGGCTGGGAACGCCCTGCCCTGTCTTGCCGCTGACCTCACAGGCTCTTAGTGTATAGGGTTTGCGAGGCTTGGGTATGTTTATGGCTTCAGTCTGCGGTGGTAGGGTTCGTTCCTTGCCATGCTTTGCTTTTCTGCATTCAGAGCTTCATATAACAAGCCAAAATAAAAATAGCCAAGCCCCCATACAACATGCAGTGTGATTGTGTAGGTGAGATTTCAGTCTCGATCACCCACATCCTTTACTCCTAAACACCCTAACCAAAGAACGAAACCCTGGATCTCGCAAGCTCACCCTAAACCCTAAACCCTAAACCCTAAACCCTAAACCCTAGACCCCAGAGAGCACCTCGAGCACCTCCTCCGTGGAGACTCCGGTCAGCACGGACATCTGTCCTCAGTCTAGGGGGGAGGGGGGGTCGGGGTTTAGGGTTTAGGGTTTAGGGTTTAGGGTTTGGGGTTTGGAGTTTGGGGTTTGGGGTTTGGGGTTTGGGGTTTGGGGTTTGGGGTTTGGGGTTTGGGGTTTGGTTTTTGGGGTTTGGGGTTTGGGGTTTTGGCTTTCGGGTGCTTAATGTTTAGGTCGGATGAGCGGGGACCTTCCAATCGAGAAACTGGAGCACAAGAGTCTGACGAAAATACCAGGTCTGGAACTAAGTTGGAATGCGAACTCCGGAGTCCTCCTGGCAAACTGTGCCTGTGTGTGTGCAGCTTGGTAAACCTCCTGTGTTCTCCCCAGAACCGATGGTACCCCAAATCCTCTGCGTGCAGCCAAGCAACGCTTGACCTCCTCTTTTTGCGCATGACCCAAGTCCACCTCTGGGACAGAAAAGGCTGGGTTGAAATACCTTAACACATATGACTGACGGCGTACAACTTATAACTTACGACGTCTAACTTCCGACTTGCGACTTGATACTTTTGTTTAATTAACGTACTTATCACTCATAATTTCTCATTTATAACTTATAACTCAGAACCGTAAATGGTGTCTGGCTTTCTTGAATTTCCTTTTTCAAATTTCTTTACGAAACAGGCCCCCAAACAGTTTTCCAAGGGAGAACGAGCCGCCCTGATTCGCTTTTAGTAAATTGTTTCGGCTACCCGCACAAATCCGCAGCCCCCCTGGCCAGGGAGCTACACGGCCTGGAAAGCTTAGACCCTCAAGCATCAAGGCTTCCCCTCAACCCTTGACCCCTAGCCGCCCTACCCCCAGCCCCCACGTCCCAGCCTATAGAGGATCCCCGAAAACCCCAAAATTGTCTGAGGGGGGGGGACCCCTGGATACTAACGAGTCCAACATTACAACCTTTCACCCGTCCTATGGACCCCTCACAACTGCCCTCAATATCAAAAACACTTGCACCTGCCTGGCCTCGAGGAAATACAACCAAAAAAACGCGACTTCACGTCTTTGTTGCCCAGGAGCCCAGGCCCCCCCTTCAGGCTAACACGGCTAACGCGGCCAGCCTTGCCTGAGAACTCCCAAAACACACTCAAGAGCACAACCCTGCACCTTGCTCAGGGCACAGAGCACCTCGAGATCCGCTTCGAAAGCCTGACATCGAAGGCTGGCTTTGAAAGTGTGAAACAGCTTCACAGAACCCTACCCGCGACGCACACGGTGTTGTTCAAGCTTTTGGGGCGCTCGATCTGCGGCACCGCACAGTGGGGCCTCTACTAATCATCGACTCCTTCGTATGGTCGCATGCTCGCAGCACAGGAAGCAGGACATGCCCATTTTACTGTGCATGCGGTGCAAACAATTTGTCTAGCTAGAAATGGCTGGCTTGCGCCGGTGTGCAATACAACGCTCAGCCGCTAAGTTGCGTTTTGCTCAGGTTTTCGCTAACAGAATGAAGCACAGGACGCCGAAATCGGAAAAGGTGTCAATGCGCACACAACATACGAAGCAAGAGCTAGGCAGCCAGGGACGGTGGCACGTAGTCGAAGCCAGTTGTCAAACTGGTCGACAAGTCGACATGTGATACCCACTTCCAGAGTTCTGCCGCATGCGCATCAAAAGTGAAGGTGTGGGGCACCACGGCGAGCACAACTGCAGCAGCTGTTCTGCAGCATTGCGCAGGAAAAGGCCGGCAAAGGCAAGGCTTCGGCCTGCGGAATGATGCCAGGAGCATCCTTGTCTCACGAAGGCCTCCCAGCAACCGGTTGGCAGGCTGGCCAGATCGAGCCACCATCGGGGATAACATGGTTCCCACACACGTCGAAAGCACATCATTGTTGCCGACACAGCGGGGCAAGGCTATTGCGGATGTCACGCGACCCACAAAAACGTTGCACGCGTGCCAGGGCCAGTGCAACGCATCAGAAATCACGATACTGAGTCCGGAGCCTCATGAGACCAAGACATGCCAAGATCCCAGCAAAAGCTACTTGAAACCTTGTCGGTGGCTCAGACCAGGCAACCTCAAAACCAACCCCCAGCCCGTCCCAAAGCCGACAACCGACAACCCAAACCTGCATCAGGTAGCCTGATGGAAAGTCGACACGGTCTGGGCCTGGATGCCTCTCGTGAGAGGAGTCTGTGGTTCACGGCTTGAGTATTCAGAGGGTTTGGGTATTGGAGCTTCGAATTTAGACTTCAGAGGTTTGGGGTGGGTGGTGGGGGTTGAGGGTTTGGGACGAGCCTGCATTGGCCTGTCGGTCAGGGTTACGGACTCGGAACCTGTCAGCTGCGATGTCAAGCGCTCCTCTGAGTTGGCCGGCTGACCTAATTGTGAGCCTGTGGGGATCAGATGGCTTCTTCCGAAGACCACGGCGAGCATCCCGAACCGAGAAAATGAGAGAACTCGTTGAATCCACAAACACGGCGGTGTTGGCAAAGCTTCCGGTCAATCTCTGTCTAAGCCTGTCCAGTACTAAGGGCTCATGTGAAACGAAAAAAATGCCATGTTTTTGACTTTGGCTCTTATCATAATTTATGTTCCTGTTTGCTCACTCAATCGCACTCACTGGACTCCGTCAGCTTTGGCACAGGATGCGCACCAGCAAGTATGGCCAGATCCGAGCGCTGGCAGAGGGCATTGCGACTCGCCCTATCGTGCTGGCCCCTGCTTTTCAGAGGTCCAACTGTTGAGGCTTCTTTTGCTTGAGGGCAACTTCAGTTTTTCAAATAACTTTCAGGGCTGGCTACAGCTGACTGGGCTTGTGCCCCAGCCTTGCACTGCGTCGCAGAGCAGCACGGCTCCCTGGCATGCATGGAGCGAGCGCGACACCTTGCACGGATTTGCAGGGGGCGAAGTGGTGAGACTTCAATGGTGCAAACAGTCATTCACGGCTTGGTGTACGAACTGGGTTCTTCCTGTCATTGTCGCTTTAGAAGTAGCACCCTAAGTTCAACCCCGAGCCTCTATGCACGGCACCCTCAACCCTCAACGTAAAACACAACTTCATCGTTCGAGATGTCGTGCTGCCGGAAGTGCTCTGAGCCCTCATTCCAGAACTCTCAATCCCGAAGCCCCAAGCCCTAAATCCTGAACCGACACCTGAAAGCTCTTGGTGGCCTCGTATGAACCCCTCTGAAGCCTGAACTGCTCTGGGGAAAAGTTGTGCCTCGTATGAGAAATCGACATGCCCAGGCGTGTCGATCCTCGGCGAGTGGGGGCGGGGCCTAGGAATGTGGATTTAGATTTAGCGCAATAAAGGACAACTTGCACACGTTTTAAGGGAGGGGCGGAGGAGGGGAGGGGCCATCGCCAACCGAAGACTTAGGCAAGTGCAGCTGAGCAGCTTAAGTTTTGGATGCCCTTTTAAGGCCTGTTTAGGCGGTTTGGGGTTGGGCGACTTAGTTGAACCCCGAGCGGTCTTGTGCCAGACAAGGAACAGGTTGAGCAAGTATTGCTGCCCATCCTTCTCAGACCGGACCAGCATGGAGCAGGTTTGCGCCTCAGGGCTCAGGGAAGTTAGCTTATTGCCCTTACGAGAGCTGACGTGACAGGGTGGTGAGCTTAAACTTAAACCAACCCGGAGTTGACGGCCTCTCCTGACATGTAGCAGATTCTTCCTATCGCTGGTTCTGAAAGCAAAACCCTAAACCCCCAAACCCGGAAACCTCTCTCAAAGCGATCGTCGTCTAAGCCAGGACGGGAGACACAACATCCTGGTGCACGCAAACTAGAGCCGAAGCTTGGTGCCATGACGCGGAAACTACGTGAGTGAGCTTGTCCCTTGTGCGCTTCACCATGTCTAGCGAGCAACGCCTCTTCGACTGCAAGGGAAAAAAGAGGAAAAACGCACAAAGTCTGAACCCGTAAACCCGTAAACCTGGAAAAACCCGCAAACTCCCCGTAAACCCGCTGAAGCGCAAGCGCCGCTGCCCTGGCCTTGACTGTGATGCCCCGCTCGCGCTCCACCTCATGGAAGGCTTCGGGGCTGAAAGGTTTGGGAGTTTCGGGAGCTTCGGGAGTTTCGGGATTCGGGACTTGTGAGTGGCTTGATGTCCGTGAGGATTCAAGGTCGCGAGCATCACACCCTGGAGGTCAACACCCTGGAGGTCATCGCAAACTCGAGCCGTAGGGTGAAGAATCGAGGGTAGTGTTGATCTGGTCACGCCCCACAAAGCTCATGCATGCTCATGCCACAGGAGCCCAAGGTTTAAGGGCAACGAGTCAAGTGAACCGTCTAGCTGATGCCCTTAAGCAACTTGGCCCTCACCTCGTGAAGCAGTGATAGAAGGCGATAATAAACCCGAAACGAAAAAGACACAAAGCATTCTACGCGACAACATGGAGTGCTTTCGCAACCACAAGCCCCAAACTCAGCCTCACACTTAGACGGAAAAAAAGGAATCCTTACACCTAATGGCCCGCCTCGAGGCCATCCAAGAACTGATCCGGTGCATTTGCCGGGATCACGCCTTGCTAGGGTTGAGCACTGGATGTAGGACTCGAGATGAAAAAGGCTTGAAGGCTCGGGTGTGCTGGGTTGCAGCAAAAAGAAAGCCCCATCCCTGCCAACATGAGTCTAAACGCGCGAGCCAATCCTATGGCCCTAGCAACCACGGATCTCAAAACGAGAAACCCTACACTCCCCTAAAGCCCGTCCAGGAGCCGCAGGATTGGAGGAGGCGGTCGCAGAGCGTGCTTTTGCCGTGGTCCACGTGCGCAATGATACCTCTGAAGCATGGGGCTTCGGCGTCCACATCAACTAGAGTTTAAAGGATATCCTTACAATCCTCTAATGCGGATTAAGGCAGAGTTGACAGGGCCTCATGTTGCCGGCTCTTTGGGTTTGCAGCACAAGGATTCGGAAGCCACAAGAAAATCATTCTTCCCGTTTGTTCATTTCCCTTTTGCTTGCCAAACTCGAAGACCGCAAACCCCAGACCGCCAACTCTAACCACAATCCAGGGGCTGAAGTTCCGATTGCGCTCGGGTGGGACAGCCGCTGCTTCAGCCAGCGTTTTGGCCTGCGTCCGTTGAGCCGATTGGAAAACACATTAACAGATTTGCACGGAGGCTCAGGCTTTGGGGGAGTTCAGGGTTTCGAGTGTACGCACCAGCATGAGGCCCGACAAACAGCACAAGCTGCACGGTACTGCGTGACAGTGGACTGTGAGTGAAGACGTTAGCAAGCCGTGAATTGTCAACCAGCCAGATGTGCTGGCGATCACGCCCATTCCACCTATCTTGCTACATGGCACCGGCATCACTCGGCCCTAAACTCATCTAAACTCCTGAGTTCGGCCTTGCTTCCCGAAGAGCTTCCAGTGGCCAGCGCGCGCAGCGTCCGAAGCGAGGGGACCTGAAACTTCATTCACCGAAAAGCAGCCGAAAGGCATCCGAACAGCAATTGAAAGAAACCGAACGGAAACCGAAAAGTAAACGACTAATGGAAAAGGAGCTATAGGGCAAGGGAAGTAAGGTGTGAGGGCTCGGGATGCAATTTGGGCTTTCGGGTATAGGACTTCTGTAAGGGGTTGGGATAAGAGGATGTCGCTTAAAGCTTGGGGATGTTTAGAGTACGGGACGGCAGGAGCTTTAGGGGTTAGGGCTTCAGGTCTAGAAGGACTACCTTAAACAGGCTAGCGATGGCGGATGTCGCCCGAGGCACCACATTGACTTGGAATGGCAGACTGCGCGTCTGCACGATGCTCCTGCGCAGTTGCAGCAGCATGCGCCCGAAAGTTGGAGGTTCATAGACCCATGGCTACGGAAAAAATGCCGCAAAGCAGCTGTATGTAAAACCCAGCATCTGGGGGGGGGGGGGGGTGCAATATTAAGGAAACCCACCCTAATCCCTCCTTAACAAGCCGACACACCAAGAAGACTGCCCTCAAAGACGTCGATGTCGTTTCTGTTCCATGCTTGGCTTCTGGCAGCTAGACTCCCAGAAAGTATTTTCCGAGTCGTGTTTGTAACTATATATTATGTCACTATGTTGAAACAGAAATGTAAAAACAAAAAACTACACCCACGGAAATACCGCTTCTAGACTCGTTCGGAATTGAACTTAAATGTGCTTCTGTATACAAAGGCCACATCCGCACGCGGTATGAATCATATCTCTTCCCATGTACCGACGTTGTTTCTATAAGTCCGATTCGGAGAGCTCCTCGCTGTAGAACTGTCTAGAACAACCATCCTGAAAAAGTCATCCCGGGGCCTCCCACATTCAACTTTTCATCACAGAAACAGAAGCGACAATCTGAATCCTCCACACTTAAACCCCAAAACGCAGAACCCCGACAGAATACCACCTCCTTGTTATTCAGCTCCTGCTCGCCAAACGCAGCTCGCGTGCTAGCGCGGCAGAAGCAGACATGGGAGGGAGTTTTTTCGGCTATCACATTTTGAGGTTTGAGGAAATCATCGGGACTTTGAGGCTTTCGGGCCTTGGTTGGGCTTTGGGGCTTTGGCTCAGGAAGAGGATCCGGCCTTTGGGCATGAGGTGCAGTGGGTTGAAGTCTACGGCAGCAGCTCAAAGGATGCCTGGCGGCAGCTCGTGTGAGGCAGCTTTACTGGAGATGGAAGAATGCCACTCAGAAGCTGGGACTGTCACAAGTGACCTCCTCATCCAACACGATGGCCATAGGCGCTGAAGCAGGCAGTACTTCAGGACTTTTGTATCCAGGCCATGCGCTATTTCGCACAAGCCTAGGTCAATCGCCACCACAACCTTGCTTTCAGCAAGCGGGTGTTGCTGGGAGAAGAACTCCACCCCGAGCCCAGTGGCTAGACGTGGCTAGGCAGTGGGGGGGGCAACGCTACATGACTCTACTGCAACCATAACCAACTCTAAACCCCTCGACGCTGCGGTACGACTGCGGCAGGACGTCAACCCGCAAGCATTATCCAGGGGAAGGCGGTCAAGGAGAGTCGAGGAAGGTCTTGGTGGGTCTCTCTTAAGAATTCTGCTGTCTATCTTCACAAAGCCACGAGGCAGGCGCTCGTTGACACGCAGCTTCAACTCAGCTTTAGCCAAAGCTGCTGCGCCTGGTCTGGCCTCCTACATGGCAACTGCAGCAGTTCTTAGGACTTGAGTTTGAAGTTGTAAGGCTACTCTGGATAGGATTGCCGTACAGCTCCCCCAGGTTGACAAACAAGCTGCCCAAAACAAGTGTAGGTAGGTGATGGTTACACATGGAGCCGAGAACAGACCCGACCACGACGCCAGGAAAAGACCGCTAATGACTGCCGCGAATCGAACCCCGGCCCAGCCATCGCTGATCACTCACTCGGCGCAATTCAACAGGGCTTCGGGAGTTCAGGGTCATGGTTGTAGGCTGCATTCTATAGTAGGTTGAGGGTTGTAGGGTTCAGTCCTTGACGGTGCAGGTCATCAACACCGACACCGCGCAGAGAAGGACACAGGCCCATCACTTCTTCTTCTCGCGCCCAGCTCCGCGCCACCACATCTCATCACGTCCGGCGCCGCCCTGTAGGCAGGGCAACTGCCACTGCATAGCATTTCAGGTTGAGAGCTTAGGGCGACCTACTGTAGGGCACACAATGGCTCTTCAGATAGTATTGAGAAGATTGTTCCGCGGATGTGCAGAATGCCATGTGCTAGGTAATGTGTTTGGTGGCATGCTATCATGCCACAAGCCAGCTGATGCCATCCACCCCAAGGATGACATGGGCACGGTCATGAGCGACACAACTGTTTATGCAGACCCACTTCACCCTGAACTCTCAGCCCGCACTGCCTCCCTGACATGCCCTGATTTGCCTGAAGCAAACACCAAAAGCACGTAGGTTACTACAAAGGAAACGGCCGGGAACGAGCTTATGTGGAACATGGGCCATTGCTCACACTCCCAAGCGATAGTATGCAGTGCAGCCTCCGGTTTGAGAGCCTCCAACCGAACTAAGTTAAGCACAGAGGGATGTTCAAGTGAGGGCTTTGGCCGCCGTCAGCAGACGCGGCAGCTGTCCAATTGAGCTTTTATGAAAATCCCTGAAAAACCCCTGAACCCTCAACCCGAAGCTGCTCTTGGGGTTTGGGTGCCACACCTCCTCAGTCTTGTCGACCCTGCGCGAGAGGAGCAAGCTTCAAGCTTTAAGAGCTTGGGGATTCATCTGAAAACCCCTGCGACCCCTAGAATGGAACCCCAAACCCGTATCAACTCAGGGATAACCGCAAGCCCAATGTGTTCCGGGGCTTGCTGTAAGGTTTAGCGGTTTTAGGGTTTAGGGGAACCCCCCAGAACACAGGGTTGATGCTCATGGAACATGCGTCCAAAAGTAACTAAGACCACCCTCCTCAAGACTCAACCGCGAACCGTGAATCCCAAACTCCGCACACAAGGTTCAGTTTGAGGCCCAAATCCCAAAAGCCCCAACTCCCAAGGCACCTCACAAAGCAAGCGAAGCTCCTCAAGACAGAATTCCGAAGGGGGGAACTTCTGCTGAGCTCCCCAATATCTCTGAGTCTCTCTGGGGGCCCCGACATGCTGGGGCTCTTGCTGAACTGGCCATCTCCTGTCTTATCAGATCTGCTTAGATGCACTCAAAGCCTGAAGCTGGCTGTGAAGCTTCGGCACCTTGCATGGGGTGACGAAGATAAACCCCAAACTTTTTGAGTGTAGGCCAGAGCTTGCTATGTCCCCAAGAACCCCAGCACCCATCCCTCCGGATTCCGAACGCGGCTCCTGAAGTCTCCTTGGACTGGAGGGAGCCCTCCCGCCTGTGAGTCCCGAGATGAGGAGACTTTCTCAGAGTTCTGATTCTGAAGCTTTGGGATTCCAGGTTGAGGGTTTTGGGCTTGGGGGGGTTGGGGCTTGAAGGACCAGTAGTAGGTGATCTGGCTCCGTCCCTCCCTCCCTCCCATGCCTCATGGCGCTGCCATCACCTGCGCCCTCGTCGTAGTGTCGCTCTTCCATGGACATCTTATTGCCTGCATCAGTCTCTACAGCGAGACCGGCAGCAGCACAAGCATTCCTAGACCCTATGAAGTTTAAGAACTCGTTCATCCTCAGCGGATCATGGCTCCCAGGAGTAGTTCGCAAGCTCTGCTTGCCGTTGGCTTTCCGACTTCAGGTTTCGGTTAGCATTAAATTTATTGGACACGACAGTCTCCGGATTTTATTCCAAGCAGGGACGCCCTGCACATCTGCCTGGATTTCTCGAAGGCGCGGAGGGTTGAATAACGGGCCTATTGTAAGAAGTTTGCAGTTTTGGACACAGGGCGCCCAGGAAAGGAAGGAGGAACAAGACAGGAGGCCGATGAAAACACAAATAGACAAGAAACCAACGAAGGACACCAGACCGAAAGCAAGTCTGGAGGATCCCAGATCCCGGAAAAGAACCCAAGCCTTCACCCTTGACCTAGGTTCGGGATAAGGATTGAAAATTCAAGGCTTAAGTTTCAGGCTCAGGCTCCCTATCTTTTTGCTCGCCCAACTTTGCGTGCCCAAACAGACAGCTCTTACCCGCCCGCAAATGGTGAGAGAAGAACCACTCCAAACGAAGCGCGGAACACTGAACCCACAGAAGCCTGGCTGTCCGGGCTTCCGCCGCCTTCGGGCGATGTTCGCCTGGGCCTCGCCACCAGAGATTTTCGGGACCCCTCTCGATGTTGGAACGAGGCTTTTGCCGTCAGGAATGTAAGCCTTGCATATCCTTGCAATGCTTCCGATCACTGGCGGGACATCATGTCTAATGCAGAATGTTCAGCTGGTCAACCCGGAGCCATCTTTCAAGGTAGAACAAAGTGCCATCTGCGCGGCCACTTGGACTTCACGGCGTTCCCCGGGCACGGCTGCACTGTCGGCAACCCTAAAGATGCTACAAAGCTTAACGTTGCCAAGTGAGGTGCTGCCGCACTGGCCATACTGAAGCTGAGCGGTGAGCTTGCGCCCCACTAGCACCAGCAAGGAAGTTGAAGGTGGAAGCCGAGGGAAAATGCCAAGCTTCTCTGAATCTGGGCCCAGGACGCGCTGGCGCAGCTCGCTCCGGCTCCAAGAGCTGGCAGAAGAGGGTGTGCTTTACTAGAACTGTTACAAGTAGTGTTTCTCAGTGATGTGGTACTTCGTGGCGTTTCAAGGGTTTAGGATGGTTTGGGGTCTTTAGGGCACGCTTTTTGGAGATCTTTGGCGGAGAGGGGGCGGGAAAAGCTCTCTCTCTCTCTCTCTCTCTCTCTCTCTCACATGTGATGACGACAAGACTGGCGGCGCCCCAGGCCTCTTTTCGATGTCTGCTTCCTCGGCCGGATGCTCTTGCGGGTCCCAAAATGGATTCACGGACTCATGGGTTGTTGACAGTAGCGCTTTTGAGAGAGCTGCCAGGAGAAGCTGAGGGCCGCAGCATCGTCGTCATCGTCGTCATCTACGTTCGCCGCGTTCGGGCCGAAGCCTCAGCGACTCAACGACGCCAAGAGGGTGTGAAATGCTGGAGCCCTTCGGGGATTGGATGTAGGTCCGAACTGCAAACGCAAAACCCGAAATCTCAAACCCCCCAGCGATTGCCAAGCGACTGAAGTGCGCCATAGACGGCAGGTCCGTCGGTCGCTTGAGGCTTCCCCCCGCGGGTTGCTGGCGCCAGGGAAGAGCTTGGTGGGCGTTTGGGAAGTTTGCTTCAATGTGTGCTCTGGGAGTTGGAGCTTCGGGAGCTTCGGGAGCTCCAGGAGTTTCAGGATATCGGCGTTTTGGTTGGGAATGTAACCACAAACACATACCCAAGCGCCATGTTTTCTGTTGGGAGCTACCCCGCCTTCGGCTGCACACCGACGTTCCGGGCATCGTTGCCCAAGCAGGCACGGAAGAGCATCAGCGCCTGCGACGTGAAACGACTTGAGTAAGCGCTTAGTGCCACTCCTCCACTCCCCTTTCCAAGCACCAGCAATGCAAAATCCACTGCGCGCTTTCAGCTTGGCGGCCGGGCCATGGGGGCCTGAGGGTCTTCACCGTTACGGGTTTACAGCTTGTTTACGTTCAAGGTGCTTCGTATTCGGTGTACAGTAGCGTCTAGGGGTCTCAGTGGTAACCCCCAAAGCCGGTTGGGGGGACTTGGGCTTCACAATGGCTTACAGGAGCTTGGTCAGCAACACTGAAGGCTCCTTAACTCATCCAGGCCTCCTCGACATACATGAGGTGATGATTCCTTGGCCAACACGTCCCTAACAGCTGGCGAACACCAAATCCCAAATGCCTGGCGGCCTTAAGACAACCCTAAAACCTAAACCCTACACCCTAAACCTTCGTAGACCCTGGAGGGCGGGGCGGGAACTGAAGGGCTTCGGCATTACAGCTTAGGGCCAGCTCCAAACATGGTCGACACAGCTGCCACAACAAACTCCGAACCCACCTTGAACCCAATCCCAAA